CACCAGTTCGTCTCTGGGAGGACTTGGGGTCTCTCCCTGCTCTCTCTACTGTTGCATATGCTTGGATTCTGGGTTGCCTCGTCATAACCAGATGAACAGACAAGCTGGGCTCTTCTCGAAAAGAAAGCGTTTCTCCGAGTGCGTCATTTATTAAAACTGGGCATCGTCGAAGGCGAGGCCTGTGGAGTCCTGCGTACAGTTTTGAGACGTGGGTTCTAGGCCAGCTCTAAGGACTCTGCCTGGCAGATCGTTGGCACTCAATGCAAATTCATGGCTGGACGGATGTGCCTTACTACCCACAGGGCCTTGGGTCTGTTTGCAAACTTCATCTGTGCAAACCACAGGTTTTCTCGTGTGTAAAGTGAACGAGGAGGCTTTTCTGTAGGGGGTTATGAAAGGTGTTCTTTCCAGCAATAGAGTTCCGGTATAAAAGATAGATGTGTATACGCACACAGAAATGGAGTGGGAGCCCAAGGCTCAGCTCCCAGCCTCCTCTATCTTCCTGTTTACCCCTCCCCCCCGCCTTTGTCACAGCCCATGAGGTGCCCTGGGGCTCCCAGAACCTCAGCTCGAAACCTTTGCACAAGATAAAGCCGCACGTGGGTGCTCTATCCAGTTTGTTAACAGGCTTTCGTTTGGGGAAGTTTATTCCTGAACGCTGTTGTCTTTTTGGTGGTTGTTGTTTTTGTTACTTCAGAAACAAATATGTTATATGATTCATTTAAAAAAAAAATAAAGAACTACAGACAGGAAACGGGTGTTTGTCCCCCCAGAATGCCATGCAGATCGTGGGCTTCATGGACCACGAGGCTGAGGCCGTCCTGGAGGTGGTGGCCGCGGTGCTGAAACTGGGGAACATCGAGTTCAAGCCCGAGTCTCGAGTGAACGGCTTAGACGAAAGCAAAATCAAGGATAAGAACGGTAAGTCCGTGCGGAATCAGCTTCGTCCGGCAAAGGCGTCCTGACTCCTCTGCCCACAGTTTTTAATCCGGAGAGTCAACCTTGCTTTCGATCGGTTCGAAAACAGCTTTGTAGTGAAACTGAACAGAAACACACTAACGGCTGAGTTTTGAGTGTCTTGTGCCGTGCGGGTTGCATGTGCCGTAGAAGGAACTCCTGAGCCGGGAGCATGGCTCTGGGCAGCGCAGGCAGTCACGGTCCTGTCCTCCCCCCGACAGAGCTGAAGGAGATCTGCGAGCTGACGGCCATCGACCAGTCGGTCCTGGAGCGCGCCTTCAGCTTCCGCACGGTGGAGGCCAAGCAGGAGAAGGTGTCCACCACGCTGAATGTGGCGCAGGTGGGTGAGCACAGCGCCAGATGGGGGTGTTTCGGGGGGTTGATAGCTTTGTATCAGGGGTGCTTGAATTTTATCATCAGATTATTGGGTTACCACTTATCAGTTCTCTGTGGCTTGACTGGTCATCCAGAGTGTAATGAAAAATGGCTCTGAGAAGAAATGTGGAATAAAAGAGCTGCAAATATATATTTTTTTAAATCTTATTTTATTGAAGGCGAGCACTGTGGTAGTCGTGGGTATGCTGAGTTTTTCTTTTTCTTTCTTTTAGGCGTATTATGCCCGGGACGCTCTGGCTAAAAACCTCTACAGCAGGTTGTTCTCGTGGCTGGTGAATCGAATCAACGAAAGCATCAAGGTACTGAGCCTCTCCAGCCAAATAGATCCCTGGTCATAAATGGTACTCGGAGTGGAAACATTAGGCGAAAAGATACTTTAACCTTACAATCAAATTATTGGCTACCACGTATCAGGATTGTTCCTTGAAAAGGATTTCCCTCCCGTAGGGTTGACATTTCTCAGGGGTTCTGTTTGGCTTTGCCACGTCATGAGCAGTCTTTCTAGTGAATAATGATCTAACGGTCTTTGCAGGCTCACTCTCAGCGTCCTGGCCCCTCTGCTGACTAGTTGGACACCCTGCCCGAGAGGTCACATGACCCCTTTTGTTAACTACTGTTCTTCCGTCAAATGAGGCGATTGGCTGGGCGGCTTTGAAAGACCCTGCCTGTTGTGGGACTTAGCGATTCTTTTCATAATTAAGCATCCCTACTGCCTTCCTTAAATGTCATCTGTTCATAGCAACCGGTCATTCCGCCGTTCGGTTGATTTGCATATTAGGGTTTTATTATATAGGATGTTCTTTGCTGTGCTTTTGGTGTCAATTTTCATGCCTAAATTAACTCATCACTTTGAAACTTTTGAAGGCTCAGACCAAAGTGAGGAAGAAGGTCATGGGTGTTTTGGACATTTACGGCTTTGAAATTTTTGTCTGTTCATAGCGACCGGTCATTCCGCCGTTCGGTTGATTTGCATATTAGGGTTTTATTATATAGGATGTTCTTTGCTGTGCTTTTAGTGTCAATTTTCATGCCTAAATTAACTCATCACTTTGAAACTTTTGAAGGCTCAGACCAAAGTGAGGAAGAAGGTCATGGGTGTTTTGGACATTTACGGCTTTGAAATTTTTGAGGTAAGCTTTTTTTCTATTTCTTGTATTATCTTTGTTAATTTCGAACAGTTGGGAATTAACTCTTCCATAGACAATGTGTATGTAATTAATGTAACTTCGAATCAACAAATGACCTCTGTGCAGATATAACAGAACATGTGTGTGTTTGGATGTCTTTTGCGTGCGAAGAGAGGCATTTTGGAGACACTGCTGTGTGTAACAGAGCTTCCTGTATTAGCACCTGACTTTTGAAATGGCAAATGCAGAATTCTTACCGGGAAATTTCCAACAAGGTGTGTGGACATGATGCCTGAGGGCGTTCATTTATTTGTAAGTGGTTTGGAAAGTGAGGCAGGACGGTGCCGTGAAAAAGTCAGGAAGGAAGGATGGCTGAGTGCTGGCCTCGCCCAGCAGCGCCGGTCACTTCGTCTCTGTGGGACCCCCCCCCGGGGGCTGGGTTAGAGGGTTTAGTGCAGGGGTGGGCAAACTTTCTGACTCGAGGGCCACAATGGGTTCTTAAACTGGACCGGAGGGCTGGAACAAAAGCATGGATGGAGTGTTTGTGTGAACTAATATAAATTCTAAGTAAACATCATTACATAAAAGGGTACGGTCTTTTTTTTTTTTTTTAGTTTTATTCATTTCAAACGGGCCGGATCCGGCCCTGCGAGTGAGGGTCTGCTGCCGGCTGAGGACACAGCCTGTCTGCTAGGAGAGTCCCTCCAGGAAGCTGATTCTTTTTGTTTTAAATCCTCGCCTGAGGATATGTCTTGTTTGTTTTTATTGATTTTAGAGAGGAAGGAAGACACACACGCACACACACACACACACGCACACACACACACACAGACATCCATGTGAAAGAGAAGCATCAGTCGGTTGCCTCCTGTACCTGCCCCGACCGGGGACCAAACCCACAACCCTTTGGTGTGAGGAACAATGAATGCTCCAACCCCCTGAGCCCCGGCCTGGGCTGGCTCCCTTTTTCAAAGTGTGTTTGCTACAGGCCTATCCGAACAGAACTCTGGTGTTCCGGGCGGAAACATCCTGGAACTTGGCTCTGGGTGGGATGCCCGTCAGTGATCCAAGAATATTCTTCCCTTACGGCTCATTCCCGTTTCTCTCCAAGCCCGTCTTCCCGCACACGGTTCCATCAGCCTTTCTCCCAGCGCTGTGACCCTGTGTGCGCTTGCGCTGATGGAAGTGCCTGCACACTTTTCCGAATGTCTTTCTTCCTTCAGCGGGATGCCCCGGTCCAGTAGCTCAGACCTGGCTGCGCGCTGGGGTCACTGGGGAGCTTCTGGAAATTGAGGTGTCCGGGCTGCACCCCGACCAGTCGTTCAGAATTGCGGGGCGTGGGCCCCGAAGCAGAATGTGCAGCGCCCGGGCGATCCCAGGGTGCGGAGCAGGGGCAGCTGCCCCGTAAACAGGACTCTCCAGCGTGAACTGTGAGTTCCTGGCTGCGTGCTGGCCTTCTGTGCGGCCTCTGTGCAAAATTCCCTTGGAAAACGCCCAGCCGCACCTACAGTCCATCTCACCTCACCCTCATCTGCATGTAGACCATAGTCCTCACCACAAACGGGTGACAGTTCTGCTCTTTTAAACAGGAATGTCAGTCCAGGCCAAAGCCAACCAACGGGTCGCATGTCTGTAGCAAGTCTCTTCGTGGCCATAGTCGTTGGGAGCTAACCTTCCTTCTCCTGGCAGCACGGGACTGGGTTCCCCCAGTTCTTGGAGAGAAGTAACATCTAGTCTTCATGATAATTCCTTGTTCCCTCCATTCGCCTGTCTAAGTCTTCTCAGAGCCATCTTCCAAACATCTTGATTTTAACAACGTCATTATTTTACAAATAGATTTAGTGTGGGGAAGTCAGAATAAAGATTTGGTTGGGCACTTTCACGTGCCCTTGGGGTCAGAATTAGCAAGTCTTTTTCCTTCTAGTGTATACGTACCCCCGATGCCACCCTCCGCCGTGCTGGGTTCTCTAAAAACGGGAACCCGTGAAGGGCAGGAGGCCCCGGGGGTCGAGCGCCTGGAAGCCAGGTCACGGGGCTGTGGCTGCGGGTGTGGCTTCGGGAGGAGGGCGCAGAACCCTTCCGCGGTGAACCTGGATGTGCCTGTGATGTTGTCTACACGCGTGGAAATCACCTGAGTGCAGAGAGAAGCCCGTCTTCGTCCCGTGAATGCCGACTGCAGGAGCGAGAGGGTGTGTGGTTACAACACCCTGGGCCTCGCTTTACACGATGGACAGTAAAGGCCCTGAGGTCTCTGTTTCGAATCCTGCCTTGTGACCCCCCTGACCGTTCCCGTGGGCACGGTGTCAGCTGAGCTGGCGGAAACCTGGCGTGCGCTCGGGGCTTCTCTGAACAGGAGCTGGACTATGATGCGCGGAAGCCGGGGTGCTGACACGCGGGCTGGTGGCCGAGTTCCCGGGCGCGGGAGGCGCGCTGAGGCCGCGTGGACCCTCAGTCAGCCTGGGAACCAGATCAGCGGAGCGCGGATGCCGGGCGTCGGGCGAAGGGAACTGAAACTCGCCAAGGAGGAAAGCCCAGCTGGACATCCCGGGAGAACAGAAGTCGGTTTTGTGAAGGAAGAAGGTTATCATCCAGCCGCTGCAATTCTCCCCAACTCAGTGCTGATGTTCTTAGAACCGGAGACATGGCCTTTGGTCTGGGAGGAATATTCGGGGCATCTCTCTCTCTCAAATAATAAGTGCCTCCCTTAAGAGAATGAAATGAAACTCAGAGCAGCGCTGACCATCGCACTCGATTCAGCTCTTCCCTGAGTCCTTGTCTGGCGGGAATTAGAATGGACAGGGGGTTTCACGGGGAAGTTAATTAGTTGTTCGTGTCCTGGGGCCCAGCGCAGGCCATTGGGCTGCACACGCCTCTTTCACACCGGAGCTAGCTTCGGGGGAGTAGGGGGGGCGCTGGTTGTTTTGAATCGGGCATTCCTTTTCCATTTCTCTCCCCAGAACACAATCCAGGAGTTGGGCGACCGTCGGCGTAGCCTGGTCAGTTCGTCTTGCGATTCTAGGATTTCTTTTCTGAACTGTTGTAAAAAGAAAAGTGATTCTAGGTACAGGCAGCATCTGCTGTTCCAGGTTCCATCATTATTCTTGCCTCACATTTTAAAGCAAAGCCTATTTTAAAATATTTAGGGAGAGCACTGCACCGCTGTGTTTTGTTCTGTGCTTTTTTTTTTTTCATCCTCACCAAGGATGTTTATTGATTTAAAAATAAAAATTTCTTTTGAGAGGGAACGAGAGAAACATTGGTTGCTGCCTGTCCATGCCCTGACCAGGGACCGAACCCACAACCTTTTGGTGTACGGAACGGTGCTACAACCGGCTGAGCCACCAGCCCAGGCTATAAAACCGTTTTTTCCTAAAATTTGCCACATTTGAGTATGTTCCTGGAAGAGCAATGTTATACGATAATTAAAGGGAAGTTTTCTACAAGTTTAGCCAGTCATTTAATTTTGTAGATGTCTAAAAAGAACAATATTTATTGTGAAATGTTTTTCTCTTATTTTGAGGGTTTTTTTAAAATTTACTTTTTATAAAAGGCAGCTCTTGATGTAGGGCCTATTGCTTGACATTGCGGTTTTAAAAAATGGATTAAGCACAGTATATTTTTTTAGAGGAACATTATCATTACTGGGGACTGTCCCACGGTTTTCCACCAAGTACACTTTTGCTAGGACCAACAGCACATTTTACAGCAGGAAGACAGCCCAACTCCTTCCAAACAGCACTGTTAAGCTCAGCGTCCTATCGCTTTTATAGAAATGTATTGTTTCATATATTACACAAGCGACTTCATTGTTTGTGAAATATAGGACCCCTGCCCAACCTGATACAGCCAACAGTGGACCTGCAAGGAGAGTTGAACTGTAAGAAATGCCAGTTAAATGTGTCATGAAAAGGGCTTGTGCTGGAATGAATCTTGGTCTTTGGGTTCGAATTGCCCTCCTGTTTCCGACACATAATATTCACCCGCCAGATCCTCCAGGCCCCGTCCTAAGGACAAGTGTGGTAGAGCTGCCTCCTTCACTCTACGTCTCCCTCTCAGTGTTTGCTGTTTGTGAAGAGTTCGGGATTTAAATACCTGCCTACTCTGTTACTGAGAAAACTCTAGTAACTGGCATATATGTGTGTGTGTGTGTGTGTGTGTGTGTGTGTGTGTGTATGCATTTTAGAGAGAGAGGAAACGAGAGGGAGAAAGAGAGAAAAACATCAATGATGAGAGAGAATCATCGATCGGCTGCCTTCTGCACGCCCCACACTGGGGATCGAGCCTGCAGCCCGGGCATGTGCCCTGACTGGGAATCAAACCATGACCTCCTGGTTCATAGGTCAACGCTCAAACCCTGAGCCACACCACCCAGGCCAGGCCAGTGTATTTGATCCATCTTTAAAACTCATCCCTGGAGGAACAACATTTATATATAGCCGGCATGTGCGAGTATGAATTGGTGATGAGCTCTGCTGAGGGCCTGGTGTTCTGTCTGCACGGTGGGGTGGACTCACACTCTAGAACCGTTGAGAGAAGCCCTGGAGTTTCACATTTTGGGAGGCGATACATCTATAGAGCCCTCCCCGAGCCCACACTGGGTGAGCTCCTTGTGAGCCGGTGGAGCCCGAGCCCTGGCTGTGGAGCAGACCTAGTGTGTGTGTGTGTGTGTGCTTGGGGGTGGAGTGGGGGGCTGGGGGCGGTGAGACGGGGTGTTGCTTCTGAGCTTCATTCAAGGGGATTGTCTAATGGAAAATTCTGGATGGAGTTGTTCGAAGGTATTCCCAACAGTTTTAGTTTTATAATAATCACAGTAATAATAGGGATACATGTGGGTTGGACAGTGGAGAAAAATTCCATGCGCGGAGCATGGGTAGAAAACGAGCGAGGAGGTGAGTCATGCGTGGGCTCTCTCGCCGGCCACTTCCTCCCCTGGGGACTGACTCATGCGGCTGACACGTGGGACCGGTGCCACCCGCTCTGGATTGCTGGCCACCCTCACGGTTCTTAAAAAACCCCAAAATGTCTCCAGATATCAGCTTGCTTTGGGGGCTCCCTGTCCGTGTGAGGTCCCGAGACCCAGAGTGGCTGTTTTGCAGGGGAGCCAGGGATGTTGGCCGCCTGAGCAGATGAAGGACACTTTAGACCTGTGCGGGTTCAGCTCCATGAGCTGCCCAAGGCTGTTGCTTAGTTTTCTGCGGATTATAAACCTTTGCAAGTTATTTTTTTTAATATATTTCTTTATTGATTTCAGAGAATAAGGGAGGAGAGGGAGAGAGAAAATCAATGATGAGAGAGAATCATTGATCGGCTGCCTCCTGCACGCCCCCCACTGGGGATCAAGCCTGCAACCCAGACATGTGCCCTTGGCCGGAATCGAACCTGGGACCCTTCAATCCGCAGGCTGACGCTCTATCCACTGAGCCAAGCCGGCCAGGGCTTTGCAAGTTATTTTTAAGGGGTTCTGAAGCCCCTTTTCCCCCCGAATTTGGACAGTGTCCACAACTTACATTCAGACCCCAGGATCCAGGGCCCCCTTCCTTGTCAGCAGCGTGACCGCCGGCGGCCGTGGCCTGTTCTGGGGGCCGGGAGCTGTGCTTGCAGCAGATGCGCAGACACTGCCGTGGGAACCACTGGATGCGGCCCTGTGGCTGTGCCGCCCTGTGGCTGTGCCGCCCTGTGGCCGTGCCGCCCTGTGGCTGTGCTGCCCTGTGGCTGTGCTGGTCTGTTTTTGTTTTCACTCTTTAAGCAACAGGACCGGTCAGAGCCCAGCTTTTGTTCTTCAGCGTCTCCACAAACCCTTGTAGCACCTTGCTGTGCTTGGAGGGGAGACACCCGGCTATAGCACCGGGGTGGGTGGCACAGGGGTGGGTGGCACGGGGTGCTCCCACAGAGGAGGGTGGCATGGGGGTGAGTCCCATAGAGGGTGGCACCGAGGGGTGGGGGTGGGGGGGTCGCAGTGCTGGGGGAGGGGAGCGGACCTGGATCTTGCTGAACGCTTCACCTTTTGGTGACCTGCAGCTGCCTCTGTCCCTGACTCTGGGTGGAAGCCACACACGTTATCTTTCCTGGTAATTCAGAATTAGAGGCGTTAGGCTCCGCAGCCTTAGGACTGCAGGCAAGTCACGGGGTGTGTCGCCATGTCAGTCACACCCCCCCCCCCCCCCCCGCCTCTCGCAGAGCCCGCGCAGACCCCACGTGTAGTAGGTCCCAGGTCCCGACTCGTGCACTGTTGGGACACGTGTCTGGATCTAACGTGTTAGATGCGCCCTCAGGAATACTGCCCGGATGGTCAGCCCTGCCACCCGCACCCCTGAGTAACTGTCCGTAAGTGTTCACTTCTAGAAGCTTCTTGCAAACTAAGGGCTGACTGCACCTGTGTATCTGTCCCTCCGCCAGGATGCAGTAAGTATCCCGTGTGCACGGTGGCCTGTGCGTGCCCGTGGGACGCGCTTTCCGGTGTGACCGTGGCAGCGAGGGCCTGTGGCGGCCGTGTGGGCGTGGCCAGAGTCCACGCAGGGAGCCCGGAGCCCGAGGGGAGTCAGGGTAGCTCCACGTGTAGCTCCGCCTGCTCTGCACGCTGTGCTGCCTGTGACGCTGTGCTCGGGGCCCTACTCCGTGTGTGTCCGTCGCCTGTCCTTGGCGTGTCCGTCAGGCTGTGCGCAGCCGCGTCTGGGTCTGAACACACTGCCCCCGCCCCTCCTCAGCACCTGCCATTGGAAGATTTAACATTAAAAAAAAATAGCCCCACCGGCACAGACTTACTCAATTACTAGGAAGGATTTATCCCACGGATTTGTTTTCTAAAAACAAACATAAAGATCTGCTCATATAAACCATTAAAATACTGATTTTGTTTCTAAGGTTTTCGCTTGTGCTAGTAGCATTCTGTAAGGACCTGTTTCACCAAACCAAGAAAACCAGACTTCCTCATATATGTAATGTCCTTATACTGGTTATAGCAGCAATAATAATAATAGTAGTAGTAATAATAACACATTGCTACCCGGTGGACTGCGGCTTCTAATCTAAATGGTTGATCTCTGAGGACGGGAGCACGTGGTTTTCAGTTTTTATGTGAAGGCTGTCCTTGGGTGTCCGTCAGGCTGTGCGCAGCCGCGTCTGGGTCTGAACACACTGCCCCCGCCCCTCCTCAGCACCTGCCATTGGAAGATTTAACATTAAAAAAAAATAGCCCCACCGGCACAGACTTACTCAATTACTAGGAAGGATTTATCCCACGGATTTGTTTTCTAAAAACAAACATAAAGATCTGCTCATATAAACCATTAAAATACTGATTTTGTTTCTAAGGTTTTCGCTTGTGCTAGTAGCATTCTGTAAGGACCTGTTTCACCAAACCAAGAAAACCAGACTTCCTCATATATGTAATGTCCTTATACTGGTTATAGCAGCAATAATAATAATAGTAGTAGTAATAATAACACATTGCTACCCGGTGGACTGCGGCTTCTAATCTAAATGGTTGATCTCTGAGGACGGGAGCACGTGGTTTTCAGTTTTTATGTGAAGGTGGGGCCTGGGGACTGCCTTTGTGTCTAAGACTCTCTTTGTTGAAAGTATTGAGCATCAAGGTGTGACCTTTATAAACTTCAGGATTAAGAAAACCACTTTGTCCTTGACTACATTTAACATGAGAAGATCAGCCGTGACCGTGTACCCGTGTCATCTATGGTTCCGAGTCAGACGTCCCTCTGATTAGCTAGCTCATCCCTGTGGGGAGTCCTCCTCTGCCAACTTCCAGGGAGAAGCGCTCTGCACATGTCCTTTCAATACTTAAGTCCCAGGTGGGGCCACAGTCGAGTTGGAAAGGTCAGGTTTCAAAGCTCTCCATGACTTCTTCGCTTGTATTTATGGGGAGATTCGAAGGCCATGAATCCACAGGGAGGGGCGATCAGTTCTGTTCCATGCAGACCCTCTCAGCTCACTCATTGTCCTGGGACTGGCCCCCCAGAGGAGAAGAGTCAGGCTGATCCTGGTGGGGTCCTCCCGTCCTTTGCTCCCAATGCCACCATCTCTCTCTCTGCAAAGAGGAGGGATAGAGTCGAAACTCACGAGTTTTATTACCAGAACCACCTCTTCCTGGACCACGTGGTTCCGTGAAGGGTGTCCATTCACAGCCTCCAGGATAGACCTCCCGGTGGATTGCTCAGAGATGCTTTCGGCGTGGACCACCCACCCGATTTCACAGGAGGTCTTCTGTAAAGGAGAAAGTGCGGAGGGTCATGAGAGTAGTAACTATGTGAGCCTTCTGAGCAGAGATGGTTTCTAAGTAGGAGATGGTTTTGACGTGCCGATGGCCGTGAGCCGTCTTTTTAGAGGCATGCCGTTCACTCATTGGCTCATCAGATGCATGTGCAGTCCATTCATTGGCTCATCAGATGCGTATTGAGTACTTACTAGGTGCGAGGTGCTGGGCCTACATTGTGAACAGGGGATGTGTAGTTGGAAGTGTACCCTCTAGTGCAGTGGTTCTCAACCTTGGCTGCACATTAGAATCACCTGGGAATCTTTGTAAAATCCTGATTTCTGGGCCTCATCCTCTGGAAATTCTGTTTCTTTGTTACGAATGATGAGGCCCAGAAATCAGGATTTTACAAAGATTCCCAGGTGATTCTAATGTGCAGCCAAGGTTGAGAACCACTGCTCTAGTGAGACAGATGAACAGGAAACTGATCAGTACACAGGCACACACATCTTTACACACAGGGAGACCTTCTTGAGCTCCACAGTTACCCCTGAGAATGGAAGGTTGAAAACTTGGGTGACAGATGATAAATCTGTTTGGGTTTTTTTCCTTCTGAATCTTCAGGGGAAAATGTGTTTATTTATATTCTTTACCGTGTGGGGGGTGCTCCTTGGTCAACTAAACATCTTCATCCTTCACATCCTGCCTAGCTGTGTGTCCTCCATTCATTCGCTTGCCCCGTGGACCGTTTCTCGTGTGCCTTGGTGTGTGAGCCTCCGTCCCGGGGGCTGTGTGCTGGGCCCCTGGTCAATTTGAGCCCGTGTGTGACGCTTCTCGCGGATTGAGAGGTTAGAGGTCGCCGTTGCGGGAGAGCTAATGCATGGTTCATTGTTTTCCATGCAGGACAACAGCTTTGAGCAGTTCATCATCAATTATTGTAATGAGAAGCTGCAGCAAATCTTCATCGAACTCACTCTTAAAGAAGAGCAGGAGGAGTACATACGGGAGGTAATGTTGACGCACAGCTTTTAAAATGTCCCCTTTTCACTCATGATACAAATTCTGGATTCAGAAGACTGCATAGCCATGACCCCGAAATCAGCGTTACCTAAGTGTAGCTGCCTGGTGTCTCTTGAACATTTGTTTTGTATGACATCTGAGCTGACTGGGACTTTTGTTTTGTTTTTTGCTGCTGGCTGCTGGTGCCTGGCAAAATGTGTGACACACAGCAGGTGCTCGATAAATGCCACTTACCGACTCAGGTCCCACAGGACTTTAATGCAATGATGGGACAGGGCACTGTGTTAAGGGAAGTCTGAAGTGAATGGACAAACAACTGTGGTACATCCACACAAGGGCGTATGACACAGCACGCAGAAAGGAACAAACGATTTCAGGGAGGAAGGGAGAGGAGAGAGAGAAACATCAATGATGAGAAAGAGAATCATTGATTGGCTGCCTCCTGCACGCCCTTTACTGGGGATTGAGCCTGCAGTCTGAGCCTGTGCCCTTGACTGTAATCGAACCCGGGACCCTTTAGTCCACAGGCTGACACTCTATCCACTGAGCCAAACCGGCTAGAAGGAACAAAGGATTGAGACACACGATTGCAGGAACGAATCTCACACTAGGCTAAGTGAAGGGAGCCAGACCAGAGGCTATCGATTGTACGATTCTGGTTCTGTGTTGTTCCAGAAAAGGCGAAGCTACAGAGGCAGAGTATTAAAGGCAGGCCAGTGGTTACTGTGGGGGAGGGGGCAGGCGAGAGGAGGACTGCAAAGGGGGAAGCCCGAGGGGATTTGGGGGCTGATTGTGTGGTAATTACAGGACACTGTGCATTTGCCAAAACTTAGCCAACTGTCTATGAAAAAACTCAGTATTGTTGTTCCATCTTGGAAAGCATTGGTTTTCTAAAAATTTATAATGAAAATAGGTCACATTTGTTGAGCGCTTGCTATAATGCCAGCTATTGTGCTAGTGCTATGGAGACTGTCTCACTTACTGTCATTTACAAATAAGAAGGAATGTTTACAGAGTTCTTTTATCCTTAACGGTAAAGCACATACATGGTTCTTACCCTTTCATTTTTAAAATAGTCCATCTTGAAGAATAAAATTACTTATTTCAAAAACTAAAAGGGAATGATTTTATTGTATTTTTATTTTTGTTACCTTTTCATTTATTGGCCTAAATATTACAGTAATATTATAGTACAAGGGTAATGATAATATGTATTCTTCATTTTTATAGTGTCATTTTAAGTCATTAAGGACACGGAATTCTCTCTTTTTTAATTTTTATTTCTCAATACAGATTTTTCTAATGTGATTTTTATCCCCATCGACTTAGTGAAATAACCCATTTCCTTGAAAGCCAAGTCATAAATATTTTTCTTTTTGCATGATCCTTATGCTTTAGAAACTCGTGTACTTGTCTGACACATTTTGGTAACATAAACATCCTAAAAGCCAGATTAATCCGCTTCCTGTCTTTTCATCGTAAAGAGAATGTGAGGACTTTGATCTGCAGCTTTAAACAGTTTGTATGGATTGCCGGGGACACTTCTAAGCGTGTATAGGAAGCTGCCCAGCTTGCTGGGTGAATCCATTCTTTCCCCTTAGAAGAAAAATAAATGTTTACAGGAATGGGCAGAATGTAAGCAAACACAGAACGGTTCCATGTGGCCTCCGATTTGCCTCCGTCGGGGCCTGGGGATCGGCTCTTTGTGTCTCTCCCGAGGTTGAAAATACTTTCTCTTCACACCAAACTGTTTTCACACGTGAAATAAATAATTCACTGCCGTACAACGTGGGACTCACTCTGAAATTAATTTCCCCCAGGGATTACAAATTAAGAATAGAAAAATCGAGGCCTTAGAATTCAGCGGTTCTCAACCTGTGGGTCGAGACCCCTCTGGCGGTCGAACGACCCTTTCACAGGGGTCGCCTAAGACCATCCTGCATATCAGATATTTACATGACGATTCATCACAGTAGCAACATTCCAGTTCTGAAGTAGCAACGAAAATAATTTTATGGTTGGGGTCACAGCATGAGGAACTGTATTTAAAGGGCCAGGAGGTTGAGAACCACTGCCTTAGATTCTTGGGATCAAGTGCTGACTTCTTTCCTTATAAACATTGTAAACATACACAGAGTCATGTTGACCCAGGGGCCTGTGGAGTCCGTGTTTGGCCCAGGGCCAGGGAGAAGCATGGGAAAGGGCCGCGGATGGGGAGCGGAATGGGCGGCCGTGTCAGAACAGGTCAAGGGCGTTCATTCCGATGAGTATGTCAGGGTGGACCGCGTGGGGCCCGGGAGGCGGCATCGGCAGCACTCATTTTACAGGGAATATTCAGGCAGGAAGTGAAGGACAGTCGGCTGGGCAGGGGCCACTCTGGTTGGTGGTGATGCAGCGTCGTGCTGCGGCATTTGATTTTCCGGTTTGTTTTCCAGGACATAGAATGGACTCACATTGACTACTTCAACAATGCTATCATCTGTGACCTGATAGAAAATGTGAGTATTTGGCACAGTTTTCTCTACTTCCCTCCTTTCGAGCGGTCTCACTGCCTTCAGGTCTTCTCCGGGGAACTGCAGAGTCCGGAGACTCTGTTACAGCCCTCGGGGGTCGCACATGGTTCTTGAACGACAGCCTGGACAGCGGGAGGTTTTGATACTTAGCCTGATTCCCTGGGCTCATCCCGTCGCCTTATCATGATGTTCCCGTATCACGATGCGCACACGTCCCGCCCTTGGAGACCAGCCCTCCCCGGTGCTGGAGCGCAGGCCCAGGCCCCGGCACAGTTTTCTCAACTTCCCTCCTTACTAGTGGTCTGACTGCCTTCAGGGTGAAGCTTGAGTGTTTTCATCCTTTGAGCGCTTTTCTCTGGGGAACTGCAGAGTCCGGAGACTCTGTTACAGCCCTCGGGGGTCGCACATGGTTCTTGAACATAAGCCTGGACAGTGGGAGATTTTGATACTTAGCCTGATTCCCTGGGCTTATCCCGTCGCCGTATCACGTCCCGCCCTTGGAAACCAGCCCTCCCCGGTGCTGGAGCGCAGGCCCAGGCCCAGGCCCGGCTCCTGGGGGTGTGAACACCAGCGGAGGGGGCTCGCAGCAGCCGTGCAGGTTTTTGCCAAAGCAAAATAGCCATTTCACTTCTAAAACTCCAGCGACTTCTTCACATCCGGTTCAGTGGTTATTATCACAAAGATGATTTCCAGCGAGCAGGTGGAGACAAGGGAACCCTTGTGCACTGTGGCTGGGGATGTAAATGGGTGCGGCTGCTATGGAAAACATTGCGGAGCTTCCCTAAAAAATTAAAAATAGAACGGTCATCAGATCCAGCACTTTCACTTCTGGGTTTAGATCCAGAGGAAGAGGAGTCGGGATCTTGGAGAGATGTCTGCCCTCCCATGTTCATTGCAGCGTTAGCTACAATAGCCAAGACCTGGGAGTCACCTCAGTCTTCACCTGTGGATGAGTGGTTCAAGGAGGTGTGATATGAATGAATATAGGAGTGTCATTCAGCCATGACCAAGCAGGAAGTCCTGCCCCTTACAACAACCTGGGTAGACCTTGAGGACATCATGCTCAGGGAGAGAAGCCAGACGAAGACAGGTGCTATATGATATCACTAATATCTGGAATCTAAAAAAAGCCAAACTCAGAGAAACAGGGTGCAGTGGTGGTTGCCAGGATCCAGGGAGGAAATAGGAGTTGTAAGAGGATTAGGCTCTGGGGGATGTAAAGTACAGCATGTTGCCTGGAGCTAACAATACTGCATTATGTACTTAGAAGTTGCTAAGAGAGTCGGTCTTAAGTGTTCTCACCACATAAGGAAATGGTGATTGCTTTAGTGATAGAGACATTAGCCAACAGCTATGGCTGTATTGGTAATCATTTGCAATATATGTGTATCAGATCAACACATTGTGCACCTTAAAGTTAACGTTATATATGTCAATTACATCTGAAGAAAGCTGGAAAGTGTATTTGTTAAAAAAATTTTTTTAAATATATTTTGTTGATTTTTTTACAGAGAGGAAGGGAGAGGGATAGAGAGTTAGAAACATCGATGAGAGAGAAACATCGATCAGCTGCCTCCTGCACACCCCCTACTGGGGATGTGCCCGCAATCAAGGTACATGCCCTTGACAGGAATCGAACCTGGGACCCTTGAGTCCGCAGGCCGACGCTCTATCCACTGAGCCAAACCGGTCAGGGCTGTTAAAAAAATTTTTTAAAAAGCATGGTATCGGAGATAAAGGGACAACCTCTGGAGCTGAGGTGAGGGCCCCAGGAGTGGTTCAGGTGTAGGCCCCAGATTGGTTCAGAGCGTGTGTGGTGGGGAGATTGCATGTGTGGCTTCACAGGTGGCCACGGCCATGGGATTTCTCAGGTGACACAAATATGTGTATATGTATGGGAAAGGCTTGAAGTGTGAGAAATTACTGGATACTTTTTAGTAAGCTTTCCGAATCTAAGATTTTTCTTTTCACGTCATATTATAAACTACAGACCCAGTGCACGAAATTCGTGCACTCGATGGGGTCCCTCTGCCCGGCCTGTGCCCTCTCGCAGTCCTGGATCCCGTGGGGAGTGGGGCTAAGCCATCAGTTGGACACCCTTAGCGCTTCTGCGGAGGTGGGAGAGGCTCCCGCCACCGCCGCTGCGCTCGCCAGCCGTGAGCCCCGCTTCTGGCTGAGCGGCGCTCACCCTGTGGGAGCGCACTGACCACCAGGAGGCAGCTCCTGTGTTGAGCGTCTGCCTCCTGGTGGTCAGTGCACATCATAGCGACCGGTCGTTCCGCCATTCAGTCAATTTGCATATTAGGGTTTTATTATATAGGATGAATTAATTGCAGGAACGGATTTGTTCGTGAAAACCTGGAAACTCTTGTTTTATGCTTAGGATGACGAACCATCTGGCCTTGATAGCAAAGTAATTAGAAACAGCACATGACCTTTATCGTCCTGCAGCCTTCATGTCAGTTGTAGGTGAGAGCCGTGCTCCAGGAATGTGGTTACAGGCTCTCCATGTCCAGCCCGGCCCTTCCTATTCACCGTGCACAGTCCTTTTAGAAAGTCTGTAATTAGCCAGTATTTTTTCTCTCTCAGTCATTCCTGAGAGATGTATCTTTGATGAAACTGAGCATTAAAAACAATATTCTAGCCCTAACTGGTTTGGCTCAGTGCATACAGCATCGGCCTGCGGACTAAAGGTTCCTGGGTTCGATTCTGGTCAAGGGCATGGCATGTACCTTGGGTGTGGGCTCGATCCCCAGCAGGGGGTGTGCAGGAGGCACCTGATCGATGTTTCTCTCTCATCGATGTTTCTAACTCTATCCTTCACCCTTCCTCTCTGTAAAAACCAATCTATATATATAAAAGCCTAAGCAATTGTTTGACCGTTGGACCGGTAGCTATGACACACACTGACCACCAGGGGGTCAGATGCACAGGCATGGAAACATGGAACAGACTGATGAATCTCAGAGGGAAGAGGGGGCAGGGGGAGGGCAGGAAGAGATTAACCAAAGATCTTATATGCATACTAGAGGCCTGGTGCATGGATTTGTGCACCAGTGGGGTCCCTCGGCCTGGCCTGCAGGGATCGGGCCGAGTCCATGCACTGGGCCTCTGACATACCCCAAGGGGTCCCGGATTGTGAGAGGTCACAGGCCAGGCTGAGGGACTCCACCAGTGCACGGATTTGTAAAATATATTTTAAAAACACCAACAAAACAAAACAAACAAACCCAATATTCTAAAGCATCACTAGTTTTCAATTAAAAAGTGAACTTTGTTTGGAAACGTCTGAACGGTGTTGGAACGTGAACACCGATATTCTTAAGCAATTCAAAACTCTAGTCTGACATGCAGAAAATCAGTGGATTTTTCTAAAAGTTTTTCCCCCTAAATTTTGTGACCAAGGTAATTTGCTGCGGGGAATTTAACTTTCGGAAGTCATGACTAACACGTTTCCCTTCGTAAATATTATTTCTCTTTAAGAAGGAAAAACAACAGTGGGAATATGCTAAATTTAACTCGATTTTCTCAGCCGAAATTCCCCGTGTGTGTGTGATGGAAGAAACCCATCTGAGTTCACGTAGGAGCCTGGGTCCTTAAAGGAAGCGTTTCCTTCCAGAATCACCTAACAATGAAGCTTCCTCGGGGGCTGTTCCACACACTCATTCCTGCAGGCCCACACGTCCCGGGTTTGGTGTGATTGAATGCATGCCGGGCAGAGGATGTTATGGCCCTGTGAGCTCCACCGGGCACTTCCCCTGTTGGAAGGGGAGGGGTCGGAGGTCAGTGGGGCGGATCGTCCTCCCGGAGTGGACACACAGGGACCCGAGAGGCGGTCGGAGGGGCAGAGCAGAAGATGCTGGTCTCTGGCCCAGTGTCCTGGGCTCCCTGCTCTTGGGGTGAATATGGTCACAGGGTCTGGTGCCCAGCAAACGCTCCCTCGTGCCCTCGTGTCGTGTGGAAGTTTTACCCGGGAGCTGAGTTCCATGCTAAGCAGACATCCTTCCAGCACAGCTCCATGGCTTTGATCGTTCAAAGCAGCGTCCGGAGCCCCTCTTTTAGTTCATTTCCCTGGAAAGTAAACTTGTTTTGAACACATGGACCGTTTGGACACATCCGACGCCAGTTTCCTCCTCAAACTCTGAGTCGATCGCAGGCCCCAGAAGACCGGGCCGTGTGACCTGTGGAGACTGTGTTGTCTGTCACTTGAGCTTCTGACTTGGAGTCTTCATGGTCTTACTCGCCTGTTTCTAACCACGTGGATTTCAGCTCTTAGTCGGCTGTGGGGGCCTCGGTGACTCCGAAGCCCTGTCTGTGGGGGGAGCACGGGCGGGGGGACCGGTGCAGTGTGTGCCCCACCACACCCACACCCACACACACACACTCACACACACACAGAGACACACTCACACACACACACAGACACACACACACACTCAGACACACACACAGACACACACACACAGACAGATACACACACACACAGAGACACAGACACACACAGACACAGGGACAGACACACTCACAGACACAGAGACACACACACAGAGACACAGAAACACACACACACACACAGAGACACAGACACACACAGACACAGGGACAGACACACTCACAGACACAGAGACACACACACAGAGACACAGAAACACACACACACACA